ATGATGAACTATACATATGGTTTTTAATCTGTTCATTTGATTTCCTTAATTCTAAAATGTTACAATCAAATGTTGCAAAATGTTGATTCCACGATTTCATATTCGCCATAAATCCTACACTCCATGTATCTACGGATAACCTGCACATCTAATTTTTTCTGGATATTTTTTAATCTCATTTGGTGCAGTAATCATCAAGCATTTATATAACAATCTCTAAGTAGATATATGTATACATGTAATAGAAATTTTATTCATCATCATCAGATTTATATATAATAACAAGCAAGGATAATTATCATCCATATAGAGATTCGTCTAAACACTAACAATAAGACATGCATTCAGTAATAAATACACAAATATTTTAAATTGAAACGCTAAAATAAATTAAAATATATCGATGCCATTCTTTACGAAGAGTTGTCTTTGTCTCTTCTATTAGTGATGTAAAGATTCATCAACCTTTGATTGACGGTGATCATTTTGACTGCGCAGTTGTCAGTACATGCTTTTTCGACGTCATCGAGGGGCCTTGAGTAGTTGTTTACAATACATGCGAAGAAGCATTTTTCGTTAACACTGTTGAAAAATTCCAAAAACTCCTTGAGCTGCTTCATATCCAATTTCAAATTGCCTGTCATTTTCGGGATAAACAACAAAAAGAGCGATATCACTTATTGGCATATCACATGAATCTTTTGACACATGTCACTACAATATAGAAATATAGATAACATGTGCTACCTAAGTCATCGTCATCATAAGGTCGTCAGTCCTAAGACTGAATGTACACGCACCTCAACTCTTTCCTATTGTGGCACTGCTTTATCCCCAAAATGGATTCGGATTGAAGAAATTGTTGATTAAAAGAACTCTTTTCGAGCACTGCGGATTCAAACAATATCCGGCTCGAAGGACCAATGTCTTTTACGTTGGAAATATTCAAATTATTAATTCNTGTTTTTTACGTTCGAAATATTCAAATTATTGATTCGAACTTTTTGTACAATTGTACCACATATATAACTCGAAGGACCATAGAAACGCCGAGTTGTAAATATAACGAATTTATTGTACAACTTACAACTACGACCTATTCTAACTTATTATAAATATTGAATTTTTATTGGTGTCTCAAGAAAATAACTGATGTCTAGTTACTCTCAGCGAGTCTACAAAAGAACTATTCTATCAAACATAAAATTTTGTACACTAGATTCCGAAATCGACAAATTATCCCTCCCAATAACGAGGTTATTGATAGTAATACCAATGCACAATATATTAACCATCGGATAAACCCTCATTTGTGCTTCTGCGAATTTGCCTACGCGACCGTAGATTTCGGAAATATTTTTAAGTCCAATAACAATAAACTTTACATTAAAGGTATAATAAAATATAAAAATGTTTATGCCATAAAGTCCCTGCGTCGGCATATCACAAAAAGGTTCCTTAACACCTATCCTGAGCTAATCTTCGCATTTTCCCGAAACTTGAACAACCCTCATCCTTAACTATTTGCGAACAGTAATCTAATCTAGGTCTACCTCTACATCTCTTAACTCCTATTTCTGTTTCTAATGCCCCTGATTAGACATTCATACGACATTCATACATGAGATGGTGTCCTACCAACCTATCTCGCCTATTTTTTATTGACTTCCATAGAGTCATCTGTTCTCCTATTCTTTCTAATACCTCTTCATTTTTAACATTCCCCATCTACGGAAAATTTTCTCTAATTTCCTTACTGGCCTCATGGTTCTAACATTCCACGCTCAGACTCTACATCTTCCTCCATTGCACCTAAGTAGTAGTACGAAAATATTGGTGCAAATGTCACAAATCATATAAACACACTTACCTAAATCAAATTACATCAAACCCTCATAGAAAACATGTGCAAAAGGATTGCGACTTTCGAAATGTGGATTTAGGCATCAGGGTGACGAATCAAGCCGTTCTAATACAGCGTATAAACAAAGAAGAAAAGGTAATCAATACCATAAAGAGAGGAAGAAAAATTGGAATATATTACCTATGCAATAAGAAATCCTTAATGTGAATTGCTCCATATAGTCACGCAAGGAAGAGTAATCCTGGTCGCCGATGAACATCTTGGCTCAAGAATCGTCACCAGTGGTACAGAGTAAGCACCACGGCACACTACTAAATCCATATGATTTTCAGTTAGTCCTAACCTTCAAAAGACGTGTCTATAAATTTGACGGCTGTCGGATCATTAGTTTGTGAATTATGGCATTTTTAGTGAAGCAACTTTTGTTATTGTGAAAAAAATGGATAAAAAGGAATTTCGCGTGTTGATAAAATATTGCTTTTTGAAGGGAAAAAATACAGTTGAAGCAAAAACTTGGCTTGATAACGAATTTCCGGACACTGCCCCAGGAAAATCAACCATCAAGGATTGGTATGCTAAGTTTAGACGTGGTGAAATGAGCACCGAAGACGGTGAACGCAGTGGACGCCCAAAAGAGGCTGTTACGGACGAAAACATTAAAAAAATCCACAAAATGATTTTGAATGACCGTAAATTGAAATTGAATGAAATAGCAGACACTCTACAGATATCAACGGAACGTATACATCACATCATTCACGAATATTTGGGTATGAGAAAGCTCTGTGCAAAGTGGGTGCCGCGCGAGCTCACTTTTGACCAAAAACAACGACGAGTTGATGATTCAGAGCAGTGTTTGAAGATGATCACGCGTAATAAACCCGAGTTTTTGCGTCGATATGTGACAATGGATGAAACATGGCTCCATCATTTCACTCCGAAGTCCAATCGACAGTCATCGGAGTGGACTGCACACGATGAACCCGCTCCAAAGCGTGCAAAAACGCAACAGTCGGCTGGCAAGGTTATGGCGTCTGTATTTTGGGATGCGCGTGGAATAATTTTCATTGACTACCTTGAAAAAGGAAGGACCATCAACAGCGACTATTACATAGCGTTATTGGACCGTTTGAAGGACGAAATCGCCGAGAAACGACCGCATTTGCAGAAAAAGAAAGTCCTGCTTCACCAAGACAATGCACCGTCTCACAAGTCAGTGAAAACGATGGCAAAAATTCATGAATTGGGCTTCGAATTGCTTCCGCATCCACCGTATTCTCCAGATCTGGCCCCCAGCGACTACTTCCTGTTCTCAGATCTCAAAAGAATGCTCGTTGGGAAAAAATTTTCGTCGAATGAAGAGGTGATCGCCGAAACTGAGGCCTATTTTGAAGCAAAGGACAAATCGTACTACAAAAATGGTATCGAAAAGTTGGAGGATCGCTATAATCAGTGTATCACCCTTGAAGAGAATTATGTTGAATAAAAAAAACGAATTTTGCAAAAAAAATGTGTTTTACTATTTTAGGCCGGGGACTTTTCAATTGACCTGTTATTTGGGTTCGCTGCGGATAAAATAAAGACCATGCAACTGATTTCCAATATTCTGGGAGGACGTATCGTCTTGAACTTTTAGGCAAGAAGTGTCTTACCACCAATTCTACAGCTTACAGTTAATTAGATAGTTTTTCATTGATTTATATAAATGAAAACAAATCTTTATCTACAGATGGATTCCCATTGGCACACCTCATTTTTTAATTTAGATGCAAGAACTTCAATTACATTCTTTCTATCATAACATTCGTTCAGTAGCTATGAAGTTTGTTTCCGCCTCTGTCCATCCTCTCCATGTACTGATAGCGGAAATTACATCCCCTTTTATATTTAGATATAGAACCCAGTTTATAACAATCAAAATAAGAAAAAAGAAAGTCAACGAGATATACCTATCTAATCGTGTTCAGTTGATCTATTATTTACTTAATTTGTGTACAAGATCTACTTTGGTTATTCGCAAAAATGTGTGGAAACTCAATTTGGACAGAATGCCCTAATTTACCCCCTAACACTAACCATTTCTTCGAATCGTCATCTGTGCACGAAATAACGCATCGTGAAGACATCGGCGCGTCAAGTTAGCGTTGCCGTAGAGGTAGTCGGGTAATTCCCGTTCCCGGTTTATCCCGACCTTATTATCCGTATTTTAAGCTGCGATTACGGTTGCCGGGACTACGTGGGCACGGCCGTTCCGTCGGAGGCCAATGAAACGTTCGCTGCGGTGCCTCCTCCCAACCTGTTCACCACTTAACGACCAATGAGAGGGGAGACCTTTAAGGGCGGCTGATCCGTATGTACAGGTGGATGATGCAGCAGTTAAGGGCATATGCGGCGTATTAGCGGAAAATAGCTTATGAGAACGATCGGGACGCGGCGGGACCGAGAGGGGAAGGAGGGGAATGGATGCGCTTACGCTAGCTCTTATTACCAGTAAGTGGGACGGGAAACGGGCCCTTTTGATGTTAAATTGACTCCTTATTGTGATGTTGTTGTTCGCCGATTTTTATTTCGGCTTTGACAAAGAGAGAGATGAGAGGGAACGAGATAGAGAGAAAGATTGTGTCTTGTTCCTGCCATCTATACATCTACGTGTATTTTGCAAATAAATTCTACTCCATCGTTTCTCCTCGGTTGCTTTCATTAGGTAAATTATTTGACGTATGAAACAACAACTAAGTTGGTATTTTGCATCACAGAAGTTCTGTAGAACAGAACAAGTTGACATTATCAATTGAAACTAAATGAATCTAAATTCAAAAGCGTATTTTACTATTATATATACATAGTTAAGGGGTTAAAAAGTACATTTTGAAAGATTAAACTATTAAGGAGGAGTCCGTACCAAGGATGAGGCTTGGGGAAAGTCATACTGCATGTCCAAATGTAGATTACCTTAGAACAGTAAAAAGCCAACAAGAAGAAGTGAATACTTCGTTAAATTACCTGTAAAATACGTTAAAATTTTTGTTTTCTTCATGAGGTCCTAAAGTAAATGACGCTATTTTAGCCCTTCTGTCCCCCACATGGTCATCCTTAGACCACTTCGTAACAACAATTTTAACATTTTTGAAATTTTCAGACTAAATTTATTTTCATTTTTTTTATTTAAACCTATTAGCCACGTTTGTAAACTATCTGTCATCGGTAATACGTCATCTTCAGTTCGACTATTACAGGTAAGTAATAAACATTTATCAATTTCTGCATATTATTCTTCGATTAACTCGATAAATGACTAACGTATCAAGTTTACACAACAATTAAAAAGCCACTTCGTTACTCAAAAACACATTGTTGAAAATAGTCTTTTACTGGACCCCTCCAACCTCTTACTGTCATATGGTTCATGGACAGCCCCCTATTGGGCGAAGGGCAAGACTATCTGCTTCCAATTACAAAAAGTCTAGACTAGTAACATGTTTATAACCTTTTAAAATCAGAAAGTTTTGATTTTGTATGATAAGGCTGTGGCTTTGGTATTATTAGGTGATGGTTCAATATCCGAACTGATGATCGTGGTCCAAGAATGGTTCTTCTTCATCAGTGAGTCTACGGATGTTTATCAAACGTTTCCTCGTCTTCTTTGATTGGCACCATAAATCATAAATCCACACTGCTTTCAACAAGACCACAAAACCCCCTTTGCTTATAAAATTTAATTGTCTTAAGAATCACAATCAATTTATGAGAACCGTTAATGGCAATAGGTAAGTGTTTCCGTCAAAAACTATTAAAAAGCACTTCCAATTAAACGAGAACAACATGAACATCCAAAACAAGTCATTTAATTAGTTTTGTTTTCAATTAGACCTTTCAATCGTCCGCTAATTATTGACTGTCTCAGCTCCACTTCTTCATCCTTTACAAACCTAGGTACGCTAGAAGCATTGCTTCGTACACCATGAGCATCTACTTAGTGATTTATTTTATTGATGCCGCGTGGTATATTATCCTTTGATTATAAGGAACCTATTTTCGTCCACATACACTATTAACCACCGCAGAAGGTGAAGGTACATGAAAAACACTACCTACTTACTAAATGTTTGTTCTATTTTAACCGACAACATTCATGGTTAGCATTATTTACCTTGCTTACAGAGATTAACATAATAAATTAGCGATTTCAAGGTCAAGTAACACATCGCCAAGGGTTTATGGACTTTATCATTCCGTCAAGAGTCAGCCTCCAGTCACAAATCGAATACACCATGAGACGGATGCGACCAAAAATGAAGTTCATAAAACCCGATCAGGGCATGCTGACATAGTTCCTATGAGCTCTACTACATTTGGGAATAGAAAGAAAGGCGATTGTGGAATGTCCTAGTGAGAGACCCAGGTAAGCTGAAAAAGAAAGTGGAATGGATTCAACAAAGTCCTTGAAGAACATATACTTAAAGTCTGGTCAAAGTGGATCCTTGAAATCTACCGTAATGGTGATCATCATTGTAGATGACTGTATAATGTCGTTAGAATGACTTACACCATAAATAAAATAAAAATTTATTCCATTTTATCTGTCACCCTCTTTAAAAACAAAAACTTAATTCGTTGACCCCGCATTTTGTGCTTAATTTATTATAAAAGGCATTAAGTGTGCATAAAGAAGACTCTTTAGTTTTCCTAATAAATTAAGTTGAAGGAATGCCATTCTGGGGTTTAATCAAGCTTTAGTTGTCAGTAATAATATTAATAGTAAGCATTGGCCGACGACTCCAAAGGACTAATTAGTTTATCCCGAACAAATTATCCCTCGAACTGATCTCATCACGACGTATTATCCGTTCGTTTAATCGCCCCTACTCGCTCGAAACTAACTTCCCACTCGAAGGGCGGGATGTTGTTCAACCCCCCAGTTTGTCCTCACCAACGAGGCGACATCAGAAACTTGCTAACCCGCAGTTGTCCGCATACTCGGGCGACGGTATAATATACAACCGGGTGGTTTTCCGAATAATTAATCGAGGTGGTTGTGCATTTCCTTCCGGGGGGTTGTTCTCGTTTGAGCGGCTGAACCGATCTCGTTTTTCGGGATTTTCAAGTAAATTTGTAGCGTAAGCAATGTGATAATCTACTTACTCAAATTGGACGATAAAGACACAAAAATAAGTTGAAAACCCAATTGTTAGTAGTATCGAACAAGGTTTTGTTTCTCTTTGTTTTTTTTTTATAAATATAAAGGTGATTGTCAAAATTTCAGCAGTTCCTGGTTTTTCTGTTATTTATTAAAAATTGATACATAAGGCAAACAGATGGTTGCAAGATGTTTTACTTGTTTTTAATAGGAAATGTTTCATGTTTCACACTGCAAGTCTGCATGAAGTGCTTACAAAAGGTCAGCATGAAAAAGATTGGCTATCTTTGATTAACTATAATAAGTGATACTTAACAGTTAGCTATTGAATATTCTGATATAACCAGATAACTCGAAATCTCAGTCAATGCTATAGGTAACTATAAAATTTTTGAAAAGGACAAGCATCCTCCTGGACGAAACTTCCCGAGTGAGTCTATCAACTGACGGTAAATTAAAGTAAATGTAAAATTTATGTTTTGTAAAACAACATAATTACTTTTAAAAAATAAAGAAGGGAACACAACAAGCGAAATTCATTAGAATCTAATAACTAACTATTACAATTAATTCTTCGTTCTCTCATTCAACTTGTGCCTATTAGTACCAAGAATGTGGAAATCTTTTTGGGTAACAGCTTTTACTTTTGAAAAAAAAAGGATAACGAAACGTTTCGTCAACAACAAAAATTAAATGGTAAATAATATAATAATAAATAATTCAAATAACTACCTAAAAATATAATCATTAATTAAAACTAATACAATTATTATTATCTATACCTACCAACGCGAGTACTAAGGTACAGTAACTTATATAGATCATATCAAAAAACATTCAATAATAATTAGACACTTTTTTTAATACTACTTACTTTTTGTTACTATTATTTGCATATTTATTATCAAAATTAAAGTCGATTAGGTGCCACTAAAGCTACTATAAAAGGGCTAATTCCAAAAATAGTGATTATAGACTATGCAGCGCTTCTTTAATATTTTTTTCAGTGCAAATCTTTTTCAAGTTGAATTTTTCAGTCTCTAAAGTGAAAATTTCATTTCATAACTTCAGGATTAGAGAAGGGTGGGTGACAGGGGTACAACTGACCTTGCACTCGTTTGTAGCCTAGCCCAACATAACTCTCACCTGCTGGAACCTACTCGTTCAAAAAGAAAGTCAACTCAAGGGAAAAACCTGTAGGCTTTTCAATACGTAAAGGACATAACCAATAAATACATTGTATTAACTGAAGAATGCTTTTGTTTGATTGCTGGGGATCATAAGAAGGGTTACAGCATAAAAATATAACACCAATAAAGTGGATCTGGGTGTGATTGCAGAAAGATTTTTGTCTCGAACGGGAGAATTTTTCCTCTACCCCCCTCAATCCTGAATTTGTGAAATTAAGATATCACTTCTGAAATATACTCAGATGAGAATAAACGCCCTAAATCTTGAAACTTTAAAGCCCGAATAAACGAAATACCCAATTAGTTAATACCACAAAAACCTCTCTAAAAGTGAACCAAAAATCAAAATATATTTAAGTACCCATATATAATAAGTACGGTGTCCTGTATAGTCGCGTTAAGTCTGTTTAGTGATAAAATAAAATGGATTCTGAACTGTCTTACAAAAGAAGAAACTTGGACTTGACGTCGAACATTCAGAATAGGACCTCATTTTTAATCGAAGACATTTTGTACAGACAAGACGGACACGTAGTTTCGAAAACAAACTTTCCTCCCTTGAAATCGTCGGTGTCGCTAGAATCAGAATATAACGACAAAGCGTTTCATCCTGTCAAATCCAGCACGGAGAAGCGACCGTTGGATGGAAAACTGTCCTACAGTTTCTTCCATCAGCCCGGAATTGTGCAATCGCCGATTGACGGTTGCGTTCAAAATTTGCAGCCGTCGGACAATAGATACATCCAGGTGATGGGAGCATTAGGAGCATACCTAGGAGGTCCGTACAAGGGAATCGCAGAGCATCCTTATTTTTTAACACAAGGTAATTATTGTGATATACTTGGTCATTGTTTTATCGCTAAAAACGTGTCCATAGGCGGCTTAATGAAGACCAGAGGACATTCAAAGCCTTCACAAAAAAATAAAATCCCAAAGTCTTTTAAATTTCTACCAGTAACAGTATTCCATGTATTGGTGAATTAATTTTGTGAATTAACTTTACTACTTCACATAACCTCAAATTACTAAGGAAAATTTGTTGCGGCTGTCACTCCCCCGCCGGGAATCGAACCCGGCCACAATTCTTCTTCAATAATTTGAGGTTATGTGTACTGGCTAATGTTAATTCAAAAAATTACCTCGCTACTACAAATTTTAAAGTGTTACTAATAACAATATTCCGTCGGTTCAGACAGTAAATGATACTTTATTAAGTTTCTGTATAGTTTCACACAACAAAATCCAAAATTCTAATGGCTTTTCCTGTGAGTTATCCGTAGGCTTGACAATATTCAATATTCTCCCTTATTTCGGAAACTACTGAAATGAAAATATTTCCTACATATAAAAATAAATTGGAAACTATGATTATGTCTGGGCCGCCAAGAAGCACGTACCCATTTGTGGCGTGCGAGTGCGATCAGGGAATTCAATCTCGGCCCTTACTTCAAATCACCTCAGTTAATGATATTCTTTTGCAATAATAAGTGAGATCTCCTTAAAAACTTAAATAAATTTAAAAAAACTTCACGATTAGGGCTTACGAAAATCGAAAAATTCAAATAAATGCATAACGGATATCAAACCTTAGTACAGAAACATATCAACCTTGTTAGTAAATTAGCCCAGTGGCCTGTGGGGAGTGAATGATGAATGATGGGCGCAGCTACTTCATGATGATTGTCTGAAATAAAAGTTCTTGTGGTTTAAATTAAAGTCATAGGTGAGCAAGCCCATGGGTTAATTTGTGATGCTTCCTTGGGATAAGGTTCTTGTATTTTATATTAAAATGATATACGCAATCAATTTTGTCGAGAGTACTAGCACGAATAGTTTCGCTTCCGCAATCTATTTTGCAACTTTTTTAAAACGAGACTAATTCTGAAAATTTCGGCGTCAGGAAAACTTCATCCTGAAAATTTCAAGACTAAAAAGCGGTTGGGATTCCGGAATCAGGAGCCTAAGATCAAGTCCAGTAGTTGCGATACTCAAACAATCTATCAAAATACGGTATCCAGCATTCCCTTATGACCTTATATCCCTGGTAGATATATTACAATAATAATTAGTGGTCTGTGATTTACGGGAATACTCCTGAATTTAGAAACAATGTGTAATAATCAAACTCGACAACAGTACACGTATATTGCAGTTTTTTTTTGAGTTGAGGATTTGTTTTTGGTCATCAGTCCTAAGACTGGTCGGACACGTACCTCCATTCTTTCCTCTACTGAGCTAATATTGTCATTTCCCTAAATCTAGAACAATCCACGTACTTAATTATCTGCGAATAGTAATCTAATCTAGGTCTACCTCTACCCCTCCTAACTTCCTTTTCTGCCTCTAATGTGTCTCTGACTAGACCTTCATGCCTGAGAATGTGTCCTACTAACCTTGGTGGCCTATTTCTTATTGACTTCCAAAGAGTCCTCTGTTCTCTTACTCTTTCTAATACCTCTTCATTTCTAACCTTCTCTATCCACGGTATCCTCATCATTCGCCGGTAACACCACAACACATTGCTTTTGGTATACAGATATAAATTCCTGACCGTAGGGGCGCTGGAAGGCCTATTGTGGATGTTTAAAGCTCAACACATATGAAGATTTCATACGTGGAATTCAGCACATGAAAATTTTACGTGTTTTTGCTTCTTTATATAGTGGAAGGGATATTCTTTTGATTTAGCTCGTACTCAAGAATTTGGAAGGGATCCTGAAAAATCCATGGTCAAGGGTCTAAAATTTATTTGATTTCTCATCATTCTACTTTTCAACTAGATCTTTGTTACATATCAAGCTTTCGGCACCAATAAAGTGCTACAATCGGTTCGGATGTCTGTCAAAGCTCGCATGATTTAGTAGTAACAACGATATACACCAGACAAAGGGGTTCTGTTTTAGTCACCCACTTTGACTAACGACATCAGTTGAGATTGAACTCGTAATCGCCCTCGTCCTTCTAATATCGGAACGATATACGTTGTTAAGCATGGGTGCTTTGGGCAGGATCAATTCCGATGCATAGAAGTACTTTTGACAGCGCATCCAGCAGGACAACTGCTTATACGTTTTATCATTACAAGTTTAGAAGTCGCAGAGATCTTACTATTAGGTGCTACTCATACCTTATCAGCACTTCAGCAATAAGATTTTCTTTGAAGGTGAAGTATTTCAAGCACCTAATATGGTTTTTGTCAAATTGATAAGTTATTATATACTTTGCTTTTCATTATTTATACAAATTGTCAAAGTTGTCCTACAATCGGTGAAAAAAATTTAAATGTGGAACAGTATTGGGAACAATAACAAGATTTACAAAATAGATTGGCAAAGTTTTAAAAAACCGTAAATAAGGCAAGGTATATCCCTATATCATACATACAAAAAAATATTTCTTCAAAAATATACTGACCATATTATAAATTTATTAAAATATAGACGCCTAATATCCAAGTGGGAAGTATAAACTGATTTACGAAGAAAAGGGAAATTCAATTCAAAAGATTCTTGATGGCCATCAAATCTCATCAGCGCGTCATAGACAGATTCAATAGAATACAGACCCACTCTACCTGCTGTCTTATGACAGTGTTTTATGAATTACTGCAAACAGCGTCGTAAATGTCATCTGTAGTATACTGTTACTGTTAATGGAACTAGTTCTTCCCCCCTTTCAGTCACTGTGAGCTCGAAACCGTTAGCACCATTGCTTCGAGTGGTCGAAATTCACTTTTGTGAACAATACTATGACGTAGTGTCGGCCATCATTCTTTTCCAATTGTTGTGTTATCGGCCATCATTTTTTTTTCAATTGTTGTCACATTGTCACTGATGTCGGCCATTATAGTTTTTAATAGATGTATAGTAATCAATAATTAAATTGTTTGTAAATAGGTGTGCAACACATCGTACACTTCAGCATAAGAAATTGCAGATACTAACTTTCATTTACGTAATACTATACTACATTCCCCTGCGGTGGCAGCACACATAATTTCTTTTATATAAAATATTCAAAAAGTTTAATGAGGTCCACAAGGATATCGATTTGTCAAACTGCATGGCCTAGACGTTGGGACCATTGCTTAGCATTCGCCTTGTCTAAGTCTTTCTGTGGTTTCGTTGGATCACTTAGGCAAATGCTGGGGCAGTAATATTCCACAGATAATCTTTCATTCTCTTCTGTCTTCATTTAGTCCGTCTCATTTTTCTTACCCGAACCATCACATACCCATTCCCACGTTTCCTGAAAGGAAGCTGAAGATGACCTTCCGCCTTACTTTTCGGTGTATTCCAGAGGGACTGCTCGCCCCCCAGCTTTACTGACTGGTGGGAATGAAACATCCAAAATCTTTTTTTTCAAATTAAATCCACGACGTAGCTAACCCTACGTGGTAGGCACGTAACCAAATAAAGAAAGGTTCATAGAGTTCACTTTTCTGTCGAAACCATCAGACGCAGATCGCGATTTCGATCTCACTAGATCTCATCAACGCTTCTGTACGATCTGTTCTGTATAACTACGTGGAATCCTTACTTTTCATATTCAAAACAATAAAATAGTTGATATGTATTGTAGTGCTTTTAAGTACCATCACATAAGGGAGGCTTTTAAATAAATTCTTTGTAGAATAAGTAAATACTTCCAGTATAATTATTGGTTATTGATTTTTGGGATAACAATAGTGTTGAAATTTTGTACTAATCTCATTGTTAATATTAAATTGAAGAACATCTGCCTCTGCTCGCAAAAAAATACCTACCTATTGTTTTTAGGTCTTCCGTTTCCACATTCATTCCTCGGAAATTCAGCAAATGAAATGTCACTAAATGCCTTGAAACACTGCAGAAGGAGGAAAGCCAGAACAGTATTCAGCGATCCTCAACTTACAGGTAATAAAAAAGATGTAGGGACAGAAACAGGTATCTATTTCTTGTCATAAAATAATATTTTTACGTTAATTAATAACGAAAACAACTGATTTCATTGATATATGTATATCTATTTGTGTTAGGTTTAGAGAAACGTTTTGCAGCCCAAAGGTATCTTTCAACCCCGGAAAGGGTCGAATTGGCAAGTGCTTTAAGCCTAAGCGAAACACAGGTGAAAACGTGGTTTCAAAACAGAAGAATGAAGCACAAGAAACAAATGCGAAAACTTCAAGAAGACAAAGCATCACAACAATCAGCTTCTTCCATTGTCAAATCGATCGCGTCAGAAGATTCAACAAGTTTCACAACATTATCACATAAAAAATCAGGTAAGATTATGAAAATTGATAGAAATTTGGATTATGATTTGTATTTCATTCATTACAACTTGGTCCATAAATATCTAACAATTAATTCTAAGTGACACATTTGAAAAGAAACAGAAGCTTTCCATCACACGCTTTATCCCAATTCATTTCTGATGACGTCGTCGTCCAGTTTTCCAAGTTACTGGTTTTTGGACCTAGCAGAATAATCCAGTAACTCTGCTATTTTTCAAACAATAGTGAACCATTATTATGATTATGAATGTGTTTTGCAAATATATTTAAATAATTAGTATAATTTATACAATTCGACTACCCGCACTTGATCGCTTCTGGTGTAAATTGCTTCATATTAACACTAGAGGCACTATATTTACTACAAAACCCGATCCGAAATCAGATGATGCACGTTCTTTCCAAAAAGTACCGTTTAGATCGCAACTCATATTGTAGTAATAGAAATTGTGACGCCCCGTGGAACTTGCTACAGTTATATTATTGTTTTGACTAAAATAAAAGCTAACGGGGACTTTAGCTTGATGTCAGTTGGTACTTCTGAATAGTTATAACCTTGACGTATACTTTAACGAGCCATGAGCTTTTGAGTTACAATTAAAAATAGAGAAGCATGTTTTAACACATTTTCGGATAAGTTAGCAAAAAATGTCATACAATTAACAAAAACCTTGGCGTTTCATTCTAATGCTGATGGTGAGTGGGCAGTCTCTTCAACCTGGATTGTAGTGCAAATTCGAAGGTTTCTCGTCAGCGTTCTTTTAGGAATAGTGGTAATGGGTAGGTGGTGACTGTTAAGAAAAAGATGAGACGGATGAAACATTGCAGGCATAAAAAAATGAAAAATTATTTATAAATGTTATTGCCTAGCATTTGCCTTAAATTTAGACCTTAAATGAACCAAGGCAATAATGACGATGATTGTGGAACTATCGCCAATCCTCTCTATCTTCTGCCTTTTTGGCCTCTTGATATGCTTCAACTCCAATTTCCTCCTTTATTTGCAACCTTCGCCTCGGTCTTCCCCTTCTTTTTCCATCAATTTGTCCTTCTGAAATAGTATTGAGAATGTTATCGTGTCATATCAAATAGTCAATCATCTTTCGCATCCTGTAGCGCCTTTCCTCGTTCACCATCAAGAGGACTTCCCCGTTTGTTTTTCTTTTTATCCAACTAACATTTTCCATTCATTTCCGACACCACATTTTAAACGGAGCTAACCCTTGCCTGTCCCGTTGAGATAGCATCCACGTTTCTCAGCCATATTATAGTATGTTCCAGACATAGATTTTCATGATTCTTTTTCTTATATCTATTGATGTTCAATTTAGCTCATTAAAAAGATGTTTTGTTTTCTAGTTAAAAGCTTGCATAGAATTGCAATTCTTCTTATTATATCACGTGACAATTTGGAGTCATGTGTTATTTACCTAAATATTTGAATTCTTTCTTAATGAATGTCGTCAAGCTGGATTCTTCTTCTTATTCCATTTATTATATTTATTGATGGAGAATTTGATATTGTAGGGAGCACGAGTGTGTTTGTGTGTGATCGGGGACACGTGTGTGTGAACGGCTTATAGATTCGCCTACTAGCCGCGGGCGCCTTTCTTCATGTGCGCCGTATTTGTAAATGTGTGTGTCGTACCTGCGTTCTGAGAAAGCAGTTAAACAGCTCAAAGAAAAAATAAACTATCCGGATGTTTCCAGAAGGTTCCCGAAAGTAAACAAAAAAGTATTTAAAGGAAGAGACGATCGCCGAGTAGAGGAGAAATAAATTGACCGTTGCAGAAGTGAATCCAGAAATAAATTGACAGTGATAGCAGTGAAATAAATAGCGCAGTGAATAGTGATATACCAACTGTAGTGTAAATAAATAGAATAATTCATAACCTCACTTTAATAATAATTTAATAGTGTTTTTAAGTTCTTTAATAATTAGTGTAAATAAATAATTTTTGTCGTTATCAATCTAAGAAGTTAATTTTGTCAAACCCACGAACATTACAATATTATCAAAATCTTAGTTAGGTTGATGTTTATGTTCAGTCCAGAGTCCTTAAGAGTAATAAAAGGTGGCCAATGGTGTCAAGGATGAATTTATATATGGATATTGATAACCAATTTATTTCTATGTACGTAACCCTATATTGTAGGTATTACATTAGAAACAAATTTAAAATTGTAGTAGTAAGTAAAGACAGGAATCATTTATGTCTTCGAATCATTTAGACGACTTATCTATCCGAGCTCACATTCGACTTTTTCTTTCTATCTTTTCATAAACAATCGCCACACAAAAGAAATCACAGTTCATCAACCGTACCAAATCGAATTTATTACCTCTATCAGACCGTAATAAAGATCTAAATTGCTTTAATGAGGAACCGAACTTGCCGTACCCGAATCGATGGAGAGTGAGAGAAAGAGGGAGAGAGTGTATACGGATTGCAATCGAGTAACCTCTACTGCAGACGGTAACGGAGGAAGTTTCCCTTCTTAGAAACTCTTAAGCGTCAATTAGGCCGAAGTTCAGGAAGGAGAACTCAATTATAATACACAAGACGGTGGTGCTTGCTCGACTCTGAGGTGGAACTCCTTGTAAGACGCTGGTCGACAGAAACAGAAATAAGTTAGTTACTTCGCGTTAGTGACGACGACAACTAACTCTGTTAACATTCAAGTAGGCCATGTCCGTCCGTCTCTCTGTCGCTGCAACAAACGGGGAACTTTTGAAGGAAAAAAGTTGGTCAATTTTTACCCATTTGCATCACCATAAAGACCAATCAAGCCTGTTAAATGAAGTTATTTGTTTCCAACCTTTCGTTAGCCACACGCTAATTTCTAAAATAGCTAAGGAAGACTTTTTTTGTAAAAACTTTGTATAATTATTTCATTTCCATTCCTGAATATTTAAAAATGAGAAGTTAAAGAACTCGTCAAGTTCATTACCTATTATTGTAGGTACATTAACTTTAACGAATGAGATAATTCCGATTTCAAATTCTTACTGGAAATGTCATAAACACGTTTAACGTTAGGACATACAATCAAAAACGAATAAAAAAAAAGACGTAGTATCTGTTCGAAATAGAACCCCAAACGGTCGGCATACCAGTAGATCGTACATACCACTTGACCATTTTCGTCTGCTAAAAATGAATTATTTCATAAAGTGAGATCTTATTGACATTTTTAGCCGTTAAGATTTTCTCATTTGGAGCATCGCTAAAACGCATCATGTGCGATGTTTGCAAATCTAAAACCTAGTCCTCTATTTAGCCGCATTATTTTAAAAGTCAAAAGGGATGCAAAATGCTCATGTCCTTTTGCAGTTCTCTCTCTTTCCCCTAATCTTTTCGGAAGCAGAGCAGCAATACGTGTCGTATGGCGCTGAATGTAAGGTACTGTATGGCGTACGTATCAGGTTGCCATCTACACAAGAGGATTATGTACTTGCATTCTTTTGGCCTTCTTAACTGAGACACGTGACAAGCCACCCTAAATAATAGTTTAGGTTAGCAATGTAATGAAAGTTTTTCCAATAATGAATTCCCCTGAGATGACCGTACTGGGGTAAAAAATACCACACGCTGTTCAACAATCATTTCCAAAAACATTATGCAGAAATTCAAACCTGATTATAAATTGTTTTCATTTGTAAGGTAATGCTAATGAGTAATTCAGTACGGAAAATACATGGCAGCAAAAAAAAGTATGAGAAAAATAAGCTACACAGAAAATCTATAACTTAAATTAACTTAATACCAGTCGAACCTGGGTAAGCGAAAACTGTATAAGTAGTAAACTCTATAAGCGACAAAAAAATCAGGTCCCGTCATTTTTAGCCCCGAAAAACTCTATGAGTGACAGTGTGAGTACCTCTTTTAAAGAGTCATTTTTGACTTCTAGACCTCTGTCAGTGACAATTTCTTACTCTAGACCTCTGTTAAGTCAGATTATTTACAATTACTAGACATCTGCAACACACTTGTGCGCGTCTTCCTACCTACTTATGGTAACATTTGGTTTCATTTAATAACAATTAATGGAGAAAATACGTTTGACGTTGTTCCCTCAAAATGTTGAAGCGAAAAACTAAAGTGATTTTATTTTTGATAAAATTTCATCATCATAAAGTCGTCGGTCCTAAGACTAGTTGGACACGTACCTCCACTCTTTCCTATCCTGAGCTAAACTTCGCATTTCCCTAAAACCAGAACAACCCACACCTTTAACTATTTGCCAACAGTAATCTAACCTCTACCCCTTCTAACTCCTGCTTCTGTCTCTAATATGTCTCTGACTAGACCTACATACCTGAGAAGTTGTCCTACCAACCTATCTCGCCTATTTTTTATTGACTTCCATAGAGACCTTTGTTCTCCTATTCTTTCTAATACCTCTTCATTTCTAACCTTTTCTACCCACGATATCCTCATCATCCGCCTATAACACCACATTTCGAACGCTTCTAACCTTTTCTTTTCCGCCGC